CTCCTCCACTGTCTGTCGATCCCTGCAAAGCAGGGGCTGATATTCTCTCCAGCTCACCCAGGCGGAGGGATCTGCTTCACCCTCCCTGCCAGAATGGGGAGGGAGAGACACAGACAGCCACCCAGAGAGACCTGCCACTCAGCAAATAGTGCACATGTCAGCTTAGGCCTCAGCGCACGAGCACCCCAAAGTAGGGCTCACTACCAGTCCCCAGAATGTCTCCTCTGGAGGGACAAGCACAGTTTGGGAGTGAACACAGACACCTTTGGAGACACAATAGGAGGGACTGTGTTCATTGAACTGTTACTGCTCGAGTCAACTTACTCTCCAACATAGCAGAGAGCATCAGTGCATACTTAAAACTTAAGCACACTTTATGCTTGAGTGAGGACAAATATCAGAGCCCTCTGAGAGCGTGGCTCACTGCTGCTGGAGCCATACTGGTCATGCTTGATCCTGCTGCATGGTATGGGCAGGACAAAAAGGGCCTGGGGAGAAGGTGCAGCCCTGGAGCAGTGGGATCCTCTAGTCCTGAGTAAGGGGAAGGTGCCCTGCAACACCCGGGATTTTGAGCTGAAAATGCTATATATCTTTTGATCCTCCCGTGCACAACAAGCAATAGGAGCTTTCATTATCCTACAGTTGTCCTAGAGCCTAAATAAAATCATCTGCTGAGGACCTGAGTGTAACTGCTATTGGAAAGAACAGTTTACATGAGAACCTGTGGGTTGCAAATGCCTTTAAAATCATCCTTTCTGGCAGAGAATGCATATCATGGTACCGGTTCATTAAGTTTTTAGCATGGTAACTATTGCCATTATTTTTGGCTACTTAAGTGGGAGGGAGGGATTTGGGGCATACTTACCAGTTCAACGCTGGTGCAGAGCCTGGAACAAACTCTTCCTCATAATCTTGATGCTCGAAGGAGCACCCTTTGAAGGTCACAGAGTCCAGTCTGTTCCAATGTTTGATACAGAATGAAAGGGCCATTTGATCATATTGGGTCAGCTTCATGTCATGAAAGTCTATGGCAGTGCAACAATTCAAGGCACGCTGCACAAAGTCTTCTTCATAAATCTCAAACAAACAGTGAAACACAGCTAGATCCTTAATCTTCATTGTCCCTTTGCCTGGAGGTGAAATTCCTCTAGGCCATGTCTGAATTGACCTCAGCATAGCATCCTTAAATTTTGGTGAAAGTCTACACCCAATTCTTTGTTTCATAAATTCTATGGCTTTTCCATTTACCAGACCAAATAAGAAAGTCACTGTTAACATCAAATCCTTTCTAGATGATCTACAATTTTCCAGTAACACTTTTGTGTCCTTCACATAAGTCCCTGAATCACCGCCTGCCTCCCCATCCTCCAGGACATAAAACATTGCAGCGCAAAACTCCTGGAGGTGCAGGTGAATGAAGCTGTAGACATTCCCATGGTCTGTGCCTTTCCTTAAAGTGTTCTCATTGAGGAGAAGGGAAAGAAGCTCTGGCTGATCTAAGCCCCACTCCTTGATTTCCTTTTCAGCGCCTTGTGCATCCACATCCCATCTTCAGCCAAGCAGCAAAGTTTGCACAGGAACTGCTGCAGGTCCTGTTTGCCCTCACCTGCTCTGCATTTCAGTAATCTGCAAAGGTAAAACATATACATTCCCGTGGTTGTCACAGAGCTCACCATAAGACTTTTCTTCTTGTAAAGTTCTTGTTCCAGGATAGTACACACAGTCCAACACATCATAGGGACAAAGCACATGGCAAATGTTGTTTTGTTTCCTTTGACAAACCTGAAGGCCATATCTGCTTTATAATCAGTGTCAAAAAACCTGTGGAAATATTCATCCCTTGCACCTGCTGAGAAGCCCAGTATTTCTGCATGGCGCTCATTCTCTAAGCACCATCCTAGATTTTGAAGGGCTGTTGGCCTTGTAGTGATCATCAAGGAAGATTCAGGGAGAATGATTTTCTTCAATAAACTCATCAGAGTGGTTTCCAGTGGCTTCTTTTCCCTGAGCTCAGAGCTTAGGTCCTCTTCTGGCTGAAGCAAAGAAAATCTTAGGTAGTCTAACCCATCTGTAACAAAGAGGACCTTTTCTGGCCTATCCAGAATCTTTCTAATTGGTGTCCTTCTATGGGACAGCAATTTGAAATCAAGTCTACCACACTCACTTCTTTAGTAGGGCTAATTTCTTTACAGTTGAGGTAGAAAACATAGTCAAACTGTGTATAAAGGACTCCTTCCGCCCACTCTACCATAATCTTCCTCACTGTCATTGTCTTTCCCATCCCTGCAGTTCCCACCAGTACAACCGTGTGTGGCGCTTGTCCTTCTTCAGTAGGCTGAAACAGCTGTGCCACAGTAACAGCAATGCTAGATTGCTTATTGCTGGTGTCTGTATGTTGCTGACTCACAGTGATGGTTTCCTGTTCTCCTTTCCTTTTGGTCTGAGGGTTCATAACAATCGTCAGGTTGGTGTAGTGGCTATTTACAGTCAGGTTCTCACTGAGACAAGCATTTACATCTTTATATTGAAGGAACTCCCTTATCACGTGTGCTCTGTATTTCTGTTTGTACCCTAAACCAACAAGAAAGAAAAATCAATTCCAATAAAGCCAGATTTCTTAGGAGCTCCTCCTCACCCACTCACAGTACTTCAATGTTGCATGACATCCACTTAGCACTTTTAGTGTGAGCTCCCCAAACTAGTGAAGCCAACCTCAGGAAATATCCATCTGTAGCCTTTTAAGATGCAAAGTGGGACAACCAGCTGCTCCTTCAGAGCTTGTATCCTCTATGTCACCCATCATGGCTACTGTCTTCTTTCAGGCTCTCCCAGGATCATCCTCAAGATGTCCCTTGTATTCCCCTGGTAGGCAGAGATCTCTAAACCCTAGTCTCATGGCTGCAATAACTGTTTAACTGCATCCTGTTTCTGTTCAAATAGCCCAAATCTGAACTGAGCCCTGAACTGAACCAAACCAAGAACTGCCCATGACTATTATCAAAGGACTGTGGCACACCTTGCTGGCCATGGGGAGGCTCAGTGTCAGCAATTTCCTGAAGGCCTCAGGAAATGCTCCAGTTCAACATCTGTGGTAAATATTCAGGTGTATTTGGAGGTTAAGGGGACCCATGCTTGCGGTCGTCTGTGTCAACAAATTGTTTCAGCCCCTCAATGACTTACAGGTCTCTTGGGCCTCCTCTAAGTTACGGCAGCAGCACCCAAGCAAGGGCAGGGGACTTCCCAGCACCTCGCTCCACGCCAGCACTGACCCTTCTTCTGACATCTCAGAGACCTCTGCCAGGGCAGGGACAAGGATGGCAAGTGCCTGCTCACAGTCACTTCATAGCACTGTTGTCTTTGCCCTGCTGATTGGGCTGAAAGCCTTCTATGGAACAAGGGAAATGTCCAGAGAAAATAGGAAGCCTGGCAGTGCATTAATGGGAAGGGCAAGAGGAGATGTCACTACTAACCTCCCATGCTAACCGGATCACAGTGGGACATACTCACATTTTCAGTCTGCTTTTTTTACTGACTTACACCTATTTAGGAATATTCGAGGGTAAACAGACTAAGAAAATTAAAATTTAGTCCAGGTTCCTACCTTTGACTTTCTCCTCTTGGATTTTATCAGCGAGGTCTCTCCGGTTCATCTCTTCAAATACATCAGTTCCTATCTCCATGGCAATGTCTTCTCCATAGTGCTCTTTCATGCAGTTGACAAGTGCACAAGCATGGCTTGCTTTCTGCAGTGAATCCTTGGGGATATTCGATCTTTCTTTGTAACTAGTGCATGATAATTTATCCTTAAACTGTAGAAAATCCTCAGGTGCCAGATCTTGCAGTGCTTCTAAGAGGACATCTATTGCATGGTCCTCTCCTGCCATCACGAGACGGGAAAAGTCACCTGAAAATATCAAAGAAGAACAAACTTTCTCCTACTGTCATCACATGGCATCCCTGGGAGCACACAAACACAACCCAGCAAAGGCCATCGAATAGGATATTTAGGGCTCACAGAGTCTCACGCACGGCAAGATGTATACAGGAAGGGGTTACAATAACATAGGTGCTGCCCAGATGGCAGAGTGTGAGGATCAAGATGCCCAGCACCTCCCCACGTCCGACTTTGTTGGCAGTTTGCCTTTTGCTCCCTTTTAGGTATGAACTGCAGGGCCATGGGGAGAGCTGGGCCCCCAGGGACCTGCCTGGCTGCCTCCCCGCCCCACACAGCCTCAGCCCCGGTGCCCAAGTGTCCCCAGACCTGGTGGCCACGTGGCTGCGCGCTCACCCTGCAGTGCTCCGTCACCAGCGGAGTGGGGCAGAGCAGGAGGATCCACTCAGCGTCCCAATTCACTGCACGGGCAGCGTTTCTGTTTTGAAATGAAGCTGCACATCCGGCCCACCCTTCCTCCTTCCTCCCTGGCCTGATGCCGCGCTCGGCTGTTCCGTACGGATCAGCTCTCTGTGCAGGGCCCTCCTTGCCAGCCCCCCAGCCTACAGCAGGGTGGCCGAAGGGAATCTGGGCTGGGACAATTTCTAATATCCCCAAGGAAGCAGATTCCCAGTCCCTTTTTCCAGAGTGTTTTTCTTTTTATATTATATAGGTATAGCTATTTTTCTTTTTATATATAACCAGAATTTTCCTTCGTGCAGTCGGTGTCTCCCCTTGCTCTATCACAACGCACTTCCGGGAGGCATCTAGCTGCATCTTTCTCTTTATATCTTAAAGGAAATTTAAGAAATGCGAAAAAAGAATTGTCTTTACAAGACTACCATCTAGTGGCTCAGAAGCGTAGTAAGGAAATTCAGCTGGAATTAGAGTCAGGTGAACTCAGAAAAAGAAAGAAAATAAAGCTGCAGAAGCCAGGGGAGGGATTAATGTCTGCTGCAGTGCTCACACGAGAGCGAGAGGGACCTCCAAGGGGCTTGATTGTAGGGAATGGGAAGCTAAAATTAGGTGCTTACTAAAGCAGATTAAGATGTGGAAATTAAAATTAGCTGCTGTTGCTGCGGGAAGCGATGGATAATTAGACTAGAAGCTGTTATTATTGGGATGATATGTATGATTGGGTAAGGAAAGAGCTGCAAGGAACAGCAGCATATACTACACGTATCAGGACCACCATGCTGGGTTTGAAAACCACCCAGACATGACCCATTACATCTCTTCAAAGACACTGACCATCTCCATAATGGAATAAAATACTGGAGGTGTGGTTGGAGAAAGAGGAGTGGAAATCGTAGGATGAGAGATGAAGAAACAAGGGATTTATTCTACATAGGAAGACTGAAGACAAAGCTCAGAGACAGTTTAATAGGCAAGGAGATGGACTGACTCAATTTAATAGCCGCAGCTTGAGTCACAGGAGGGTTTGCAGCATCCTTGCTGGATTCGTAATGACCTGGGATTTGCAGATGACCAAAGACGAAGGGGAATAGCTATCCGTAGGCCAGTAAACACGGCATTACCATTGCTAACCAGGCCAAAAGTTTTGTATTAAAATAACTATAAAATATTAAGATAACTATACTAAGATAAATACATATATATATTTAGGTAACAATACAAGCTTGCAGATTTCACCTGTCTAGAGCTTTATTTTCCTTGTGTTTTGCATGTTTACTGGAGTAAACAATAATTCCTGCATTTTTTTTTTCATGAATAGATATCTACCCTGTGGCCTGCTGTTGTCTCCTTCAGTTTAGTCTAACAACATAGGATCCTAGAATAAAAATTGTTACAGCTCTCAAGGGAGCCTCAAGAATTACAGCTTTTTATATCTGGATCCACCCAGGCTGGGGAATCACAGCTAAAGCTTTGAAAAAAAATGCTCTAAAATGATAATAACCTAATGACCTTGGTGGTTGAGTGGCAGATTTGCTGAATTCAGTCTCCTAAGACAGTATGCAAATGTGGAAGCATTGGAGGGCCAGGAGGGACAGGAAATTGCAGGAGGAAGAAGAGAAGCTTTGAAACTGAGGGGAAGCCAAGCACTATCGCTGTTATCAGTGCTAAGGAAGTGAATGTGGCAATAATATCAGATTTTCTAACAACAAAACAGTATTGTAAGACGTACCTGTGTAATAGAATTGGAAAAGATCTGTTATACACAGAATCTCACTCATGCTAAAGGCAAACATAGATAGTTATGTGAGGAATGGGAAGCATCCCATCATCAGCATTATGTCACAGGGATATAGTTGGGAAAAGTTTGTAAAGGAAGGGGTCTAAGGAAAATACTGTTTTGCATCTCTCAATACAGCCTACTGCATGGTTAATTGCATTTGCATATATGCTTTTTTAATTATGATAATCATAATATTACTATGGAGCTTAAATGCTTATGAGTAAATATAATGATTACAGAGCTAATGAAATGCTAGTGATTACGTAAACTTTGAATAAGAATTAGCAATACTGTAAATATGGTTTCGACATGGGGAGAGACATCAGTAAAGCCTTTTCTGGGTAAATGCACATGAACAGGCCCAGTAAATACCTGCAGATGTGGATGGAGAAACAATTACTGAGAAACAGAGGCCAAAGCGGTTGCATTTTCATTCTGAGAAATGCAGGAATTCTCCATGTGGGATGTCTAGCCAGGCAAAGCTTCAGCTGTTGTGACTGCAGAGCTGCTTTGGCTGCCATCACAAAGTGCTCTCCCATGAGAAACGTCCTTCGGCGCGCTTCCTTGGAGACATGGTGGTAAGGGAGATGGCTGCTTCCCAAGTGGATGCAGGGACTCACTGCAGTGTGGCTTTTCCCTCCCCCTCCTGGCCCAGGATGGCTCCTGACAGAGGCTCTAGGAAAGGAGAGATGCTCCTGTGGGATAGCTGGCGCTGGATACCAAGAAGCCCGACACACTGAGACATGAGGATAGGTTGCAAGGAGGCTTCCAGCCAGCTCATTGGGGAGCACAGTCCTGCACCAAAGTGTCCTGGTGGGTGCAAAGCACCTGCAAGGTGACAGTGAAAGACTCCCGGCTTGAGGTACCCAGCTCTGGACGACCTTGGAAAAGCAGTTTTCACCTTGCTGTGTCTGGAGCCGAATCGATGCCTCCCAAGAGAGGCAGGTGCTGGGTGCTGGCATCCAGCTCTTGTCTGCGCTGGGATGGGGATAACGTGACCCACTTACTGCAGGAGACAAAGTGAGCTGAGAGACCCTTCCCGACAGAGCCAGGGTTTTTTTCTGTGTGCTGGGTTGCTCTGGAGTCACTCAGCCGGCTTCTCCTCTTGTGTTTGACATCAAAAGTCAGGACCCTTGTTTTCATGGCTTCTTTCTTTTGATTCTTCTTTCAACATATATATTTTTTAATCCCAATAAAAGCAATTGTTGATTCCAAGTCTGGGAGAAGCCTGATTCATATGGATGCACCCTGTGAAGCTGATGATGTCCTAAGATGAAGGCAGAGACAGGGAGATCTCAGCTGGAAAGCCCTGGTCTCGGCTCTGCCAGACTTGTGGAGCTGCTCTCAGCAATTTCTGCTCACAAGCTGCTCCCTTCGTCTGCTCCTGCAGCACAGCAGGGAGGGTGCAGACACCAGTGACACTCATACCCGATGTAAAGGTGGCATAAGGATCTTATACAATCCCGTGCCCAGTGTTTTGGGTGTCTCGCCTATATTAAACCACAGGTTTTCGCAAGCTTTGCAGCTTATTCTCTCTCTTGTGCTCTGGGTCTGACGAGCAGGCTCTGACAGCATCAGAAAAGGGACACAGCCCTGTTAGGAAAGGGATGAGCCTTGTGTGATGTCAGCTGCACCTGGCGCAAGCCCATGGAACGGCGAAGGGCAAGGAGGGCTCCTGCTGCTGGCTCCAGGCCAGGAGCCAGACCGGAGCAGCAGAGACACCGTTAGCATTAGCCACAGCTAATGATGTGTGCAGCAGGTCCTCCGGAGAACCGAGCAGCCCCCTGAGGCCAAGCAGAACAAGGTGCCCTTGCTCATCCATGCTCTACGCTTGCAGCTGCGATGTTGCCTGGTGACACTTTTGGGGGACAAGGCCGTGATTTGGGGTAAAACAAGAGCAGGGCTGAGCACTGTGCAGTGCTGAGGAGGTTGCAGGGGGCTGCAGCAGGGAAGGGAGGTGCTTCTGCTTCTAACCCATGTGCTGGGACCTGCCAGGGCAGCTGTAGGAATGGCTGAGCCGTGGCCCGCAGCGCGTGGCCAGCGGGCAGCCGCAGCTCGTTGCAGTCCCTCTCCAGCACTGCTGGGCCAAGGAGGGAAGTGGAGCTGGCACCAAGCCAGCCCGTTACGCAGCAGTTTTGTTTCCTCCCTCCAGCATGCAGCGCCTCTCCTTGGCAAGGCAGTTTGCCACCTTGCTCCTCGGGGGTCTTCTTACTCAGAAATCCTGAGTAAGGGGAGCCCCTTACTCCTTTTTCTTCTCCCTTATGCACACACAGAAGCATTGCAATGCACCAGGCTGCCCCTTCCCCACTCACCATCATATTTCTCTCCCCGCTCCACAGCTACATGCGCTGTAAGATCGAGGGGGAACAGCGAACGAAAGACGGGTTGAAGCTTCGGCACCGCTTTGTGCGGATGGTGCCGAGGCAGCCAAGCACGGCCCAGACCCTCTGGCAGGGAGTGCAGGGGAGCGGGTTCTGGGCCGGCCGCCCTGGCTGCGCCCCCTTCTTGGCAGGCTGCCCTTTCCTGGGAGCCGGCCCTTCTCTCTGGATTGGAGCGCGGCTCCCCGTCCCCCTCCCCGCACAGCAGCTTCATGCGGCCCTGGCTGGTGCATTGTGGGAAACTCCCAAGCTGCTTTTTTTTTTTTCTTTTTTTTTTCCCTTCCTCCGCCTCCCGCCCCGGAGCCTCCCTCCTCTCTGCAGAAGAGCCAGCTCCTGAGGAGGCACTTGGGCGCAGGGCCGGAGGAGCAGAGGTAAGGG